GGCACAAATGGAATGCTCTTTCACACAAAGCAATTACCACACGTTGTTTTCGAAGGCGCCACCGTCACACCCAGATCGGGTGGAGCCACTCAAGCGATGATGAAAGGTGGGAGTGGGTACCTGAGTAGTGGCGTGTTGAATGTCTAAACTGAAACAGATTAAAATTTTGATGTGGTTCTTTGGACCTGACCCATGGCCGATGGTTATTTGTTTTGCACTTCGGTGGCTACACGCACAAGCATTCATTAATGCCTCCATGCATCCACTTTGCCACACATATACTCATCCCCAAACATCGAAACGGAGTCCTTTATTAATTCATTCATTGCTTACTTGGCTTGGAAGTTCGCGTCATTCTGAGCGATCCTGGAGGTGCCAGTACCATATTTCCATGGCATCATTAGGCAATTGTATCAGCACAGGCAAGGGAGCACAGCCTCGTCTTAGTTAAATCTTTCGCAATGTCAATGCAAGTAACAATGATGGTGAGTGTGGCCTTAAACTAAGTCGGGCTGAACTAATTAAGAAATGGGCAGGTGGAAGTAGTAGTTGGTAACTACTGCTAGGGGTAGCGTGGGATTTAAGGGCAGAAGCAGAGAAGCGCGTATTTGGGAAATGAATTTCTGGTGTTGTTTGGTCATCTTCAAGCCCAACAATTGAAGCATTTGTAATAAAATGTTTTTTGTTTGTAAGAGAAAACTTTATTCAACCCTATTCATGTACAGAGAAGGTTCTTGTTTATAGAAAAGAACTTTTTTCTACCTGAAACACCTCCATGTATTGCTACACAGACTCCTATCTTCCTCAAGCTTTTCTCTTTGCAGCTATCATCCTGTCCAACTTTGGGTCCTCACAAGAAGATGCGTCAACAAGTGGTGATGATACCGTTTCCATGTGCATGGCCTATGTCTCGTTATTTACTCCCACTCCTTGCCCCAACGCTTTACGTGATTGGCACAGCTGAGAGCTCAATGAGACGTACCATAATCAGACAGGCGAAGTCGTCAATGGAAATTTTATTTGGGGGATTGAGCAAGTACAGTGCAGTCAAGTAATACAATTACCACACTCCGTTTTTTAAAAAGAGGCCTTTTGATACACCCAACTAGCGTGGAGCTACACGTGCTCCTCACCACTGATGAGGCGAATACCGGGGACTAAGGCGCAGTCATGGAGTGGATTCATCTGATGGCTAGTGGAGACATCACTACTACTCTCAACTCCCATGGCTTACATTTGTGTGGCTCCAACTGACTAATGTTATGTGCCTCTCTCTAGTGTGTAGCCCACGTCATGGATATTCTCGGTTATCGTCGGGCTGGAAAGGAATGAAGTAGCCATAAACACAGTCGCCACCACTGTGTGCCGCCATGAGTGACAGTTTGATTGACGTCGGTGTTTCAAGCATAAGACGGAAATTCTATCAAGCTCTACCCCACTCATAGGAGACACGTGAGCGTGCCTAAGGGAAACGGTTGCGCGTTCCCGTGTAGTACCACAAAGCTAACTCCGTAACAAAGTTTTTTTATCTTCTGCAGCGATATCGATGAAAGGGCATTTCACGAATTCCTATTCAGAAGAGGTGGAGAAAGTAAAGAAAAGTAGACGAGGTAGGTACAATGTGGAGGTGGCCAGCTTGTCTGAGTGTTGACTGTCACACTGTGGAATCAGAAGCAAGGAATGAGGACTTGGTTGTGGAGTCCTCCAAATTCCCCCATAATCTCAGCTTCTTGCCAACATTCCACCACATCCGCATTTGATTGCCAAACACAGTGGGACCCATTCCAATCGCCAAAACTTTGTTATGGAAACCCCATTAAATGGAGGAATTTAGCTGCAGTGAATGCAAATTCTGCCGCATAGAGGTAAAAGCCACGGAAGGGGAAGGAGGAGAGCAGTAGTAGGGGCTGAATTTGGTGAATAGCACATGCCTATTGAACAGCATTGTAAATAATGGGAGGCACCTCATGCCTCCTCATGTATCTACTCGACCATTAATGATATTCCATTTCAGTGGTGCAGTTGACTGCCAACTTGACATTATCCATCCATGCGTTTGTCACTACTTGAGAAATGGACGGTTTGTACACAGGTGGATGGCGATTAGTTGGCAACAGCTGGCAGGAGTAGTGTGGGACACAGAGGAGTGTGGATTTGGAAAATGTATTTCTAGTGTTGTTTAGTCATCTTCTTGCCCATCAATCAAAGTGTTTGTAAA